ACTGACGTAAGATTTCTGAGACTGCGTTTTCCGTATGGTTTTTCGTCTGATCTGGTATGATCATGCACGATATTGGACCAAGATCTGATACGATCATACAAGAATCTGTGACTGATCTGACTGTCAGATTTCTCCATCTGGGTTCACCAATTTTTAAGATGTTCTGTGCTTGCAAGTGAATTAAATTGTAGCGGAAATGTAAAAAAAAGTTGATCGCAATGCAAGCCCATGTCAAAATTTATGACTTTCAAAACAAATTAGAAGCCCAGTGGGCCTCTATTCTGTGGGAGAAGGGAAGTTAATATAAACGATGCTTACATTTACATATTGTTTTAGATTTCCATTAGAAATATTGTTCACGAAGTTCACTACATAGGGCAGAAGATGACAATAGAAATATATCATTAGATGGAAGACTTCTACGCCATGCTGATACTCGACAGTAGAACATATTAGTTATTTTTTCATTATCTTCTAATCAATGCATTTCTCTAATAAACAAGTATATAGAAATACTTTATTGTAAATGAAAAGTTAATTTTGTTTTCACTCCATCTTCCACAAATAAATAAAAGGAACTTGCAAAAAACAAGGTCTTCTGTTACATCTATCGAGCAATTTTCACACTTTAACAAGAAAAAAAGTTTTGAAATTATCGGAAGTGATCCTTCTGAAACTTTAGTTATTCCGAAAAACTACATGATTTCAAATATTTCAGAAAATACCTTTCTCTCCATTTACATGATTTTGAACATAAAGGAAATCTCGTTGACTTTCTTTGAGGCAAATTTGAACACATGTGTGTGTTAAGACAAATAGAAAGATTAAAATTAGAACAAATAATAACACTGGTGCAATAACATATACGAGACAAAATAATTCACGATCAATTGCACCTATCATCAAGATGAGTAAAGAAAAATATATCTATTAATCTAAGAGAGATACGAAGAAAATGAAAGAATTAATATCGTATGCATTTCGAACGTATCTTAATACTTTATTTTTGTCAATAAATGAATATGATATAATTGTGGCACACCTTTCTAAGTAGAGAACGTAAATATTGCATTTTTTTTCATTTCTTCTGCTCATTCCTTCACTTTAATGTATGCTGACCCTTACCATCTGTTATTTTTCACATTATAAATATTTACGTTGCTTTATGACTGACTTTCTTTTTCTAGTTTAGACTGCAAAAGTAAGATTGAATAAAAATCCTACTTCTAATACTTGTTGCCATTATATCGTTAAATAAAGATATTATTGCTATTACGCGAGATGGTCGATGTCCTCAACCACAATATGTGTTCAGTGATTTACCTTGCTCAACTGAAAGAGAAGATGATGTTTGTCCATGGAACTATAAATGTTGTCCATTGATAGATGGTATGAAATGTTTTGGTCCATGTCATGATTTTACTGAACCATGTAACCTTGAATGTCCATTTGGTTTAAAAGTTGATCCATCACCATGTACTATTTGTGAATGTGCACCCGATCCATGTCTTTCAACATCATGTCCTCTAGGAACGAAATGTATTACACAAGAATATGAACCTTGTGCTGTCAAAGGTAGATGTGGTTTAAAGACTCAATGTGTCACTGATCCGTCAATTCATGTTGATCTTACTCCAAAACCCAACAACTGTCCTGATTATTGGCCAGTAATGGGGGGTGGTTTACAAACATGCAGTGGTCTAGATGCTTTATGTCCTGATAAACAAAAATGCTGTCGAGCTCCTTTTATGAATCAATTCAATTTACAAGATTCAGCTATAAGTTATTATGTTGAACCATGTGAAGATATATCGAAGTGTACTCTGCAATGTTCACATGGATTAGTGATTGATGGTGGTTGTCGCCTGTGTCGTTGTGCTCCTAATCCTTGTGATAGGATCAAATGTGCTGCAGATGAAAAATGCCGACTACTTCCACCACCATGTGTTTATTATCCAGGACGACCACCATGTGCTCTGGTGCCTGCATGCATGAAAAAACATTGATCATATTATTTGCATTACAAGCTGATCTATTTCATTGAGTTATGAGTTTCGAAATACAATAAACATAAAAAATTAATGTTGTTGCAATATATCACATGCTAGCATAAATAGGTTCTATTATGAAAAGTAGCTGTTACTTTTCATCATAGGTGGTGCATCAGCATTACAATAGATAACAACTGTTTCCCTACAATTTCCACACCTTCTATGTATAGGTTATTAGGACTACGCAATCCAGCTGATATACGTTCCATAAGATTCTAGTTCATGAAAGAGCACTGATCCATAGTCTCATGATTGTGTTTATTACTAAACTAATAAATGCACTTCTTGCCACATATGTACCCGACATGCGATCATTTAAACAATAAATAATCAATATTTTGATTATGCTGGACGTTTTCCTTTCAGACTTGGCGGTCTAGCCACTTGAACGTTGAATCAAGATCAATAGCGTAATTGTAAATGGGTTTTCGTCTCTCTAAGACTGCTTATCTGCTGCTTTGATACATTGATTAAAAACAATTGAAATCTGATTAACAAATATTTAATGAGTGAAATGCAGTGGCTCATCTTTATTGCTGTTTAATCACCAATAAAAATGAGCTGATCATTCGGTATTTGTCGCTTGTTTTTGTTTTTCTATTTGATAAAGCTTACAATATAATTGATAATAATTAGCTGAAAAGAAAACTAATTCAGTTATTGATTCATAAGCAACGAGGATATCAGCTAGCTACTAAAATTATCTAGTTAAATACAAAAATCTAAAAGACAGCACCTCCGTCTTACTCATTAATTGATGCTTCTGTCATTTTTTTAAAAAGGATAATTACTTAAATGTCACTCAACTATTTAAAAGAATATCAAAGCAAGAACCCAATGATCAGTGAACAGACTATCTGAAAAATCTTGAATTTTTGCCAATGTTTTTTTTTTGAGTAAATCTAAATGAATCTTAAACTTATCTGGAGCTCGTAATTTATTATTAGGTGAGTTAAAACTCAAGCATCCAATTCTCATACTTTGGAAAACAATTTTATTGGTTTATTGCTCTATAAAGTGAAGCATGCATCGCTTATGCTTTTCATGTAAAAATGCTCTTCTTTTCCTTGTAATTCTGACTAAATAAGTTTATCTGTAAGAATTTTCGAAACTTTCACATTTTGAAAGCAACCTGAACTGATCATTTTCTTTAAATTTTATTCTTAAATTAAGCAACCAACAGTACATTTGTTCAAGCCATTCGAGATCAAAGAAATTGTCCTTGTTTTTTTCTTTCAATAACTGTCAATATTGCGCATAAGAAATATTGAAGTTTTTTTTTTCAATTCGTATCTGACTGAATTAGAAAAATCGAAATATCGCATGATATTAATTATGTAGTGAATAAACAAGGTTTGAGACAAGATACTGTATATTTCAATAATAGAAGTTCAAGAACACGCATCGTAATGTTCACTCTCATTATATCATAGGTTATTCCTGTTTTTAATCACAGCTTTAATATGTAACTGATATCCATCACTATTTATCTGGAGAAAACCTAGAAGAAATACTTGATTTGTTTTTTCACTATGATCTAAATTAAATGATGAGCAGCAAATAGTACTATGGAAAACCATTGAAATGTCTGTATTTAGGTTCATTCAACAGGGACCAATTTCCTTGGCTATTGATAGAAGCTTGTTTGAAGCTTTTCTTTTCATATAAATACCGCTGACAAATACCATTATTAAATACTTTTGTGGAGCTCACTAAACAAACTTTTCTTTTCTTCAAATAAGAAAAAAATATATATAGCGGTCTTCAAGATAATTTTTTATTTTCTTCTTTAAGAATTATAACAAAAAGAAATCACCATCAACTTTATGACTGATATTAGGTCGACGTACATAGAACACTTTTCAGAATTAGTTAGATTAAAAGTCAATGCGTTGCAATATTTTGAGTTTCTCAAGCATGAAATGTTGGTTTTGCAACGAAATTAGCAATTTAATGTCCAAAGAATTTCGATTATATATTTTATTAGTATCAAAGGCAAAATTTAATATTTAAACTAACTACTGCTAAATATTTACACAATGTAAATCAATATAATAGCATTCATAAAATTAGTTTTGATCTCCTATTTTCATTCTTTCTTCGGTAACAACTGAATATTATATTGAAGAACTATATATATATTTTCTTTTACATGAAAGAAGAAAATTTTTCTTTAGTAAGTTCAACAATAGGACTCGATAACAGTATTTATTTACATTATTCGTATGAGAATAACACATTGAATAAATTTCCATCAGTAACCGAAAATTCAGCTCATTTTAATGCGATCAAAACGAAGATATCTCAATTATTTATTTTAATGTTACTTATGATCTGCTCTATAAATGAATGGGTTACCAAGAATGATCACCTCGTGTCGAATGAAAAACGTAAGTCACTTTTTGATTAACGCTTATAAGAAAGTTTCTGTTGATGTCGACAATAAACTTTGCTTTAGCCTTTATAATAATTGACAATCAATAATATAAAGTTAATTTTAGATTGAACTGAATGGCTCACTGTTCTCTCTCGATAAGTGGGATGAGGGCGTCGAAAAAAAGTTAAACTCAGAGTCCGTAGCTACACTCTCACTTTTTCTCGTTCAAATAAACAGACTAAATATAGTCTCACAAGTGAGAGGCACTAATGGAAATATATATTTTTTATTTACTCAATAGACAATAAGTTATTAGCATCGAAAATTGAATGTTATTTTTCGAGAAAAAAAACTAATTAAAACTGAACGATAGTCAATCGACAGTGAATCATGTAAACTCTCTGAACTATTCTTTATACTTGGATAAGTAATAAAATATATCGAAATAAAAGTGAATGATCTACTGCTCCCCTTCTATTAGTATGCTTTTTTTTTCTTTTACTGATAAGAAACAATAAAAAGATACACTCAACCAGTCAATCATCTAAAACAATTTTACATTTACAAATAAAATGTGGTCATACATCTCTCATTGTTTTCTACTTTTGTTTTTATGTAATCATCTGACAAACACTCGACAAATTCCATTCGATACTATTGTAAGTTTTAGAGATTCAAGTGCTGATACAGGAAATGTTTATAATTTAACACATCATACATGGCCTATTGTACCTCCATATTTTGAAGGTCGATTTTCAAATGGTCCTGTTTGGATAGAGAAATTAGGTGTATCGAATATAAAAAATTATGCATATGGAGGTGCAAGGACTGATAATGATTTCATTCAAGGTTATACAGCATCAGATACAATACCTGTGCCTGGAGTTCGTCAACAGATTAAAATCTATTTCAATCAAACTAATATAACTACTGTGAATTCTTTGCGTACACTTCATGTAATTAGAGCTGGTGGTAATGATTATTATGCCAATAAAACAATTAGTCCATCAAGGGTTATTGCTAGTATTTTGAATTGTGTTAAAGATTTATTCGAGATTGGTGTTAAGCATATTCTTATTATGAATCAATCACCTATTCAAACGATGCCATTCGCTCAAACTCAAGAACAATTTGTTTACTATACAACTCGTACTATTGATCATAATAATAATCTTTCGATTGATATTACAAAACTTGACTATAATCACAAACGAGTTACTTTATATTTATTTGATATTTATTCATTCATTTTGAAAATTATTGCTAATCATGAGAATTATTCTTTGAACATACAAGATAATTGTTGAAACGTATTAAATAGTAATGTGACTATTTTATGTTCAAATCCAGAATCATATGTTTATATTGATCAATATCATTTTTCAGCAAGAATACATGAACTCATGGGTGACGCTTTACGTCAATTTCTTTTGACTTCGTCGGGAATCACTATATCTTCTTATTCTATTATTATCATTTTATCTATACAACTGTTTTTAATCTTCGATTCTCAAGAAGAATCTTGTTTCTTATTTTCGATTTGAAATGTAGAGTTTTTATTTTATATTATTTCTTTTTCAACTCATTTCATACTCTCCTTTGAATAAAACAATTGTTTTGTGGAACTTGCTCACTGTTTTCGAAGGGCAATAGCAGGTTTAAGTTTTAAATTCAAGTTTTCTCTTTCTTTTAATATAAATTAATTTTTCAGTAATATTGCACAAATTTTGTGACACAAGATATAAATGATTCTACAATAAATAAAAATTTGATAATGATCGTTATTTTACTGATATATGTGAAACTTGCAACTTGGTTTCAATTGAAATTTCAAGTTTCAAAGAGATAGCACTCTGAAGAATTACGAGTCACAGACATTTTCACACACACATATCATCGCAGGTGGTGGGGGTGCGCCGAAAGGAGGGTGTGGGTGTGAACTTGAATATTCTCTCTTACTACTCCCACACTCACACCCATGCCCACACACCCACATCCACATTCACACCCCCACAGCCACACCCCGACCCAAAAAGGCAATGAGTTTTTTCTTTAGAAACAATTGTTTAACGTACAATGGGTATAACGTTATATTTGTCGGCTACTAAATTTAACCAAAATCCCATATTTCGGATACATTGCTAATTTAAAATCGGACACTATTTTTTGCCCAGGTACTAGCTCGAAATTACATCGTTGAACAAACATAGCTAACATAATTTTCGCTTCCCATAACGCAAAATTTTGTCCAATACAATTACGAGAACCAGAAGCAAATGGAAGATAAGCCAATGGATGAGGTAACTTTGGTTTGAGACCTGTTTTTGAATCACGCATCCAACGAGTGTAATCAAACTCAAGTGATCGAGGCCATAAATCATTTCGACGATGAACAATATAACTGTTAACCATAATAGTAGTTCCTACAGGTATTCGTAATTGGCGTTCAGTACCTATAGTATGTTCACGTATACAGTAACGTGTAAAGTATGGTGCAGGTGGATAAAGACGAAGTGTTTCATTAATTATTGCTTCACATACAATCAATTCATTTAAATGTTCATTGGTAGGTTCTATACCATTAGGAAGAACTCTATCAACTTCTTCTCGACAAGCTTGTAAAACATCATCATGAGTCATCAAAATATAAAATATCCATACCATAAGAGTTCCAGTAGTTTCACTACCAGCAAGTACAAAAGTGAGCGCTTGATCTTTGATTTGTTGATCAGTAAACGGATGTCCATCATCATCAACAGCTGAGAGAAGTAAATCAAGAAGATCAGCACCACTAGATAAACTAGTGGATCGACCTTCTCTTCGATCAGCAATTATTTTATCAACCAATTCACCTATCATTCGAGTTCCTTTATCAACAACATCTTTCTTCCAAAAAGGTAACTTTGATATAAGAGGTATTTGATTAACCATTATTAACGAACGATAAACAATAGCATCAAGCACTTTACCAAAATTTTGACAAATGACTTCTTTACAATTGTTAATGGCTTCATGGCCTGATCCAAATGCACTTGATGCAATAATAGATAATGTCAATGCATTGAATTCAATTTGTAAATCAACCAATTTTTGTTTTAATTGATCTGAGTTGAATGCATTAAATAATGCTTGAATAGCTTTAACAGTTTGGTCAGTAATAATTGAAATCATTGATTTAAGATTGACATGATGAAAAGCAGGATTAATCATTCGACGAATCCGTTCATGCTCACTACCTTCAGCAACTAATAAACTCTGATGACCGATAATTGGAGTAAAGACAGTATTAAATAATGGTGGTTTAATATAATTTTGTGCATTAGTTCGACTAAGCACATCAGCAAGTAAATCAGGTTCATTAATGACAAGACGTATTGTAGGTCCGAAACCAAACACGAATAAATTTCCATGTTTTTTCACTAAATCTTCTTGAAATTTCATAATCATGTCAGTGTTTCGATAACGAAGAAATTGTGGAAGTTGACCAATCACAGGCACAAATGGTTCACCATTGACACCTTGTGCACAAAATGTATCATATAAACATTTCTGTGGACGAATAACTTTGAAATAGATGATCACCAGTGTGAAAAGAACAATAGTCACAAATGTGTAGATTAAAATTAAAAATATCATGGAATCAATAATAGTAGGTTAATAGAATTCAAATAGTTTAATGTACGCTCTAAAAAAAAAGCAGGTGTGCGACGTAAAGTGTTTTCGTAACATATCGTGTCTTTTTATATTCCTTGTGACAAGTTTTGTTTGACGAAAAGAAAGAAATAAAAACTTTAATATGACTAATAATGAAAATGATTTTTTCTTACGTGTTCTCTATAGGATGACATTACTGTGGTATAAAAACAACTTAAAAGTCTATCATTCCTTTTGCTCTAAACATTATTTAACGAATCAAAAGAAATGGCTCTTTTTGTTTTTTTGCATTTTCTGACCCTTGAGAGCGTTTAAAACGAGGGGGAAAAGCATGCTTCTATACTCCAAAAGTAACAAGAAGTACACAGAAATATATTGAACTATGGTGAAATATATATAAGTACATGAATGTAGAGATGTTAGCCGCCGATCGGGTGAAAGGTCACAGTTCAAGCTTCCTCTTTTTCTAAATTATTACTGGTTGATAATAATCAGTAATATCTCAAGTTTGATTTGTGTGGCAATTAGAGATTGCTGAAACCAGGAAAACTTCTAAAAAATAGGCATTAGTGTATGTTGTCTTGGATGATTTATGGTCTGAAAGCCGAGCTGATAAATAAATGGGTCTCCTTGTAATTTTGTAGCGCTACCATATTTATTAGATTCTCATTTGCCTTGTTTCTTCATGCATAATAGATTAATCGCTATTATTTTCTCTGTTGCGCGATTTTTAACTTATTCAGCATCCTACTTCAACTAAGTGTCTAGTTTGAGTTCGAATATAAATGTAACTAACATTACGATTCAGAATTCGAACCCCAATCGATACTCTTCTGCCAGTTTAGAAAAAAAGAAAAATATTTAATTTGAATTTGAATAACCAATGAAAATAAATCATACTCTTTTTCTCAACTTACAGAAAAGTATCGACTTGAATTTGAATTAAAATTCTAATTTCAATATTAGTTTCGCTTATGATCCAATTTTAACTACCATGTGTGAATTTAATTTGTATTTTAGATGGATAGTCACATTAATGCCATTTTGGCTTATATCATGAGTTATTGTTGTGATTTGAAGTTATTTTATGAGGAGATGGTGTGAATTTTTTAATTAATGAGAATAAAGTTACGTCTAGTGGGAACAGTTTTGCATAAAAAGAAATAAGCGTGGTAAGAGAGAAATAGCGCTATAATTCTGTGCAAACAGAACGTCTAATATTTGCCGTAACGGTAGGAACCTACGAGCGGCCTTGTGAAATAACACAGAAAAAATTTTGTCGTCGGCGCCACCACCGAAAACGACCTCTTCGACGAGAGCTTCTCACCACTGTCGCTAATGCTTTATAACTTATATGCCGCCATCGATTAAATGATCGGCTAACACCTCTAGTTTCGAGGACAATTCTTTTTCTACTTGAGAAAGTGCGGACTTCTATCTATCGAACTTTGACTATGGAGAGAAAAAACGTCTGACCGAAAATTTCATTTACACTTTATCCCAATGAAAATATTTCGATTTTGAGAGCATTGTATTTTGTCAATATTTCATGAAATTCACGAATATCTTTTATGAGTATAATGTACTACTGAAGAAAATATGAGAACGAAATTTGCATGTATTCAGTTTTTTTGAAGATTTCATTACCAGAACAAATAATTCATCGATCAATTAAGTTTGTTCATTAACGTTTCTCCTCTCTGGAAAGAAATAACATATAATAAGAGTGACAATTAGTCGCCATGCAGAACTAGTCGTAATTGGCGTTCAGTACCTATAGTATGTTCACGTATACAGTAACGTGTAAAGTATGGTGCAGGTGGATAAAGACGAAGTGTTTCATTAATTATTGCTTCACATACAATCAATTCATTTAAATGTTCATTGGTAGGTTCTATACCATTAGGAAGAACTCTATCAANTGTTATATGTATAATTATAGACGAGATATTTTACTAACTATTTATGCAATAAAACTTTCAAAACTGAGTATTTTAATGAATTTAAAACTCCGTGGCCAGAACTTTTGGACCACCCTAAGTAGTAGTGCCTTCCATTAGGTCACTTATTCAACTATTTTCAATTGTGTTATCTAAACAGGTCGTTGTCATCAGCGTTGGAAACATAGACAGAAATGAAAAGGGAAAATGTTCTATCATAATTGCCGTAGTTATCAATTAAATATCTTGCAGTTGTTCGGTGGAACCTTTCAGTACAATCACGATCGATAGATTCTGCTCATAACCGAACAGTGCTGAGACGTGTTACTGATTTATACAAGATTTATGAAACATTACATTAGGCTATTGAATAAAGCGTGAGAACGTCTAATCGGAACAACAGCTTGAAATGTTTAGTCAGTTATGAACGGAATCAAGGGAACAATGCACTGCGGTCAGGTTCCACGTGAGCGGAGGGGTGTCAGCTTCTCTTCCCCCAAATAATCCTAAATTTTCAATCTTTTCCAGCGAAAGGTACCGAGTTTTTTCTACATTTTACACTATCTGTACGGATTTTTTTCGAACTTACTCTCTTACACACCCTCTATCTTCTTCGGTCCTTCGCGCAGGACCTGCCTGCGGTGTCCTGTTTGTAAAGATTAACTCGAAATCGAAGGTCGTTCTTGAAAATCTCATGCTCAGTCAATCATTGAGTAATATTATATAGAATTCCAGATAGAAATTCGTTTGGCAAAATCTCTACTGATACGAGAATTCTTGTTGTCGTTCCGATTCGAGAAAAAACATTTTCTTTATTGCAAGTGAAAATATGATACGAAAAGAATAACGAATAAGATGAGAATGATTGTTTAGTATTGCTTTTTGTGTTCAGCATTCATTACACTGCTTATACATGATTCTTAGAGAATTCGTTTAACATTTTGAACGCAACAATGATAACAATTTGAAAATATTTTGTTCGTTTGGAAAGCTCAAAGTAAACACCGTAGACTCGCTGATCATTTGGTACGGATGAAGTGAGTCTTTAGTGCTGTATGAATTATTCAAAGGTAAAGAAAACTTTGATAGATGCACATGATTTCTCTTTGGCTCTTTTTCGGGCAGAGCTAATGTCCTTTCAGAAGAGACACCTAATTATCTGCTTTCATGTGGGTAGAAAATCTAATATGAAATGGTAGTGCCGATGTGAGTGTGGTTTTTCTTTGTCTCCTCATCCACATCCTATGTCTAATATACACGTGAGATCACCATTGGTATTCAAAGTGAGTATTAATAATCAATGGTGTTTAGTAAATTCTTGAATAAAGAAAAATAATCACAGTATAAAGTAGAATATTTAATCGGATTCTTTTTATTATAAGAACGATTGAATATATATACTTTTTAGCATGCACTTTTATCCATTTCGAAAAGATTCATTTGACTATCAACTAATATATTTAGATGTAATCAAGCAAAAATTCTTTATTAAAATTTTCTAAATTAAAATTCGTTCGATTGTTTTCATATATAGAAAAGCAAGTTCAAGTCAATCTTGAAGAAAAACAAGTATGATAGCGTCTTTAAAACGTGACTATTTTTATTCTCTCATCTTTATTCATTATTAATTTAATAACAAGATCAAAGCTCTTTTAAGAATTTAAAATACATCCGATTGACATCAAATCAAAACAAGAGGATTAAGTGAAACGATTAAAAAACATATTTATGCTAGATATTACCATTATACATAGTACTTATGAAAAGTTTGTGAACGGTCTATGTATTAGATTTTCTCTAAAGTTTAACTGTTTGTCGATAGATATGATTATGATAATTATATGAAGGATCGGCTAGATTTGTTTGTGCTTTACTTGTTTCATTGAGCGAATCGTCTTCATCTCTATCATGTTGTAACCATTGACACACAATAATTGAAACAAGAAACCCGAGTAAAACAACAAGAGCTGCACATAGAACAGCAAGAGCAATGATAATACGTTGTTTTGATGATTCATTTAAATAAATTAGATTTACATTCTGTTGACTTCCATTGTTTATGAGATCGGTAACTGTACGAGTTGGTATAGACAATGAAACACGTCCAATTAACTGTTCTTCAACTTGATTCACAGTTGTCGATAAAGGAACTGTTGTTGATTCTTCATCTTCATCTTGTGATCGAACAAAATAAACAACTACAACAATACACACAAAGAAAAAAAGATTTTCTAATGAATAGTATCTCTTAAATTCTTGTAAGAGTTTAACTAAAAACAGTTTCATTCAAATCATAAGCCCTTACTTCTGTGAATGGAAATAATGCAGAAAAGAAGATGCCACCAAAGCATTGATATCGAATAACGGTTAACAAATGATTAAATATATGTATATGTATTTGTTAGTATATATTGAATCGAACGATATACTGTTGTTGTCTCTTTTTCACTCTTTTCTTTTCTCACACTGCCAAGAAAAATAAATTTCAACTCTTATACGAGATTAAAAGACGACGATATCGATGACAAATACCAAAAAATGCACAGAAATATGTTTACACTTAATTAATATTTTCATCTTACCATGTACACAAGCATAATCATAACAAGCATTCTCTATATCTGTATTTGATGTCTCTTTGCTCTTTCTTTTTTTTTAATGCTCTTGATATTTGATCGTATGATTCAAAAACTTATATTACAGATAATGATGCATGGAATGACAGAAAAAAAAATATGAAATTATGTATCCATCAACTTTTTTTTCATACGAAAATGGATTTTTGTTCGTAGTGATCTTTCACAAATCGATATCATTGTGACAGATGATCTTTTTTCTCATAAGTATTATTGATTGAAGAAATATTTTTGCATATCTGACAATGACATTCAAAAGAAAAATATTCAAAAAAAAAAAAATTTGCTGTGCAATTGACATAAATCATGTATGAAAAAAAATGATGTTGAAGAGATCATTTTATCCGTTTTAATCATACCTATGTAAAATTAATCAGAAATCTTGATTAGTACATCTAAATTCTCGAATAATATGAAACAAAGATTCGTAAGCCGTCGAGTTACACCGCCTCGTAGCAGAACGAAGAAATTTTTTTGACAGCGAGACGAATATGAGATGATGTGAGATTTGACGATTTGTTGCGTCTCCTTGCGATATGGTTTTAGCTGAATAGATGTCAATTCTCTAATAGCTTCGATCAATTTTCTTGTAGATATTTGTCTGCATTGAGATTTATCCAAATGGGCCAATTTCCTTGGCTAATGATATAGGATTATTCAGATTTTCTTCTGTTTGTACCAATAAGATAAAGAAATACTATTATTAAGCTCACTAAAGAAGCTTTTCCTTTCTTGAAGTAAGAAAAACACATCTGTAGCGCTCTCCAAGATAAGTTTTGATTTTCATTTAAGTGAATAAAAATAACAAATCAGAATAGACTTTATTAATGATGTCACGTTGACGTACATAGAATACATTCCAGAATTAGTTAGTTTTAAAGTTAATGAGTTTCGATTTTTAGTTTTTCAAGTATGAAATACTGATTTCGCAACGAAGTTCACAGTTAGGTGTCCAAAGTACTACAATTATATCTATTAGTTATCGAACACAAAATTCAATATTTAAACTAACTAATCCTGAAAATTTACTCAATGTGCATCAATATAATATCATTCATAAAGTTAATTTTCATTTCTTACTTTTTATTTTCTTAGGTACCAATTGAAAACTATCTTGGAGAACTACACATATATTTTTCTTATCTCACAAAAGAAAAAGTTTCTTTAGTGAGCTCAATAATATTACTTAGTAGTAGTATTTGTTTACATTATTCGTAAGAAAAAAAAACACTTTGAATAAACTTCCATCACTAACCCAAATTTCAGCTCATATAAACGCAATCGCAGTAGAAATATTTCAATTATTTTTCATTGTGTTATTTATGACCAACTCTTTGAATGAATTGATCGTAAAGAATGATCACATAACGTCATATGAAAAACGTCAGTTGCTTTCTAATTAATATCAATAAAAAAGTTTGTGTTGATGTTGCTAATAAACTCTAACCTTGCCATTATAATAATCGACAACCGATAATACAAATTTAATTTTGAATAAAATTGCACGAACTACTACTCCCTCTAGATAAGTAGAGTGTGGGTGTAGCAAAAGGTGAGCTAGAAAGCTGTCGAAAGAAGTAATGTTTCCAGTAAATGATGGTTCTAAGCACTTATAATTCATTGTTACTTTTCTTATTATTCTACTAGCCTAGATTTTTAACCAGTAGTAATGATGATGAGTAACACCTTAATATAAGTTAACTAAAAGAGTCGGACGAAGAACTATTATACAACTGGAATTCTATTGTCATGACTACAGCTGCTTCATCTTCAGCGGATTTAATTGAACCAAACTCACTAGCTACTTCATTTATACGCTCATGAAAAAGAAAAACCTTTGCAAAAAGCAGATGAATATGTTTTCAAATTGAATAAAACAACAACATGTATAAAATAGTGGGAATACATACTGAATAGATTTTTAGCAAGAATTCATAAAAATTTGTGTGATTAACCTATGTGTAATCAATTTAATGCAGGTTTAGGAGCTAGACCGAAACAAGCCAAAAAAATTCTAATTCAACGTCGTGCTGTCGATCTTGGTGAACGATATTATGACGATATTAAAAATGATATGGAATACTTAGATAGTTTTTCATTTACAGTTGCTAAACGAAAAAAATGATACTTTATAATTTTTTTTTCTTTCTTATATCTTGATTTATATATACTCTCTGTTAAAATGTTAACATTAACTCATATAATAAAGCATGCTCTTCGCTTTTATAACTTTCTAAAACACTTTTCGACCATTTTTCAGATTCATGTTCTTTTTTTTGGACATTTTTCTTCTTTGTTCTTTTGATATTTTTTCCTTCGATCTTTTCTTCTTTTTTCTTTCGACATTTTTATGACCAACCATCGCAAAAATCCACACTTAGAGCAGCACTTCATACCCGCACCCTTTCTACTTTAAAATAGTCAACGAAAAGTAAATTCTCACACGATAAAAATTCTAATTAGAATATATTTTTTATGCAACCAACGAACAGTAAATCCTCGGCAGCAAAAATTATATTTTTTTGAGAAAAAAAAACAAATTAAAATTGAAAAACAATCAACCGATAGTAAACCATGTAAATCCTCTGATCTATTCTTTATAATAATTAATTATTGATAAAATAAATTGGATTTTCAATCAAAATCAATGATTTTCTCTTCCCTCTCTATCGGTATGTTTTTTTTTCTCCGTTTACTGATAAGTAACAATCAATAGAGGAACTTAACAATTAAAGCATCTAATTCAGTTTTACATTTAGAAACAAAATGTGGTCATATATCTGTCATTGTTCTCTACTATTGCTTTTATTTAATTATCAAACGAATACTCAACAAATTCCATTCGATACTATTGTTAGTTTTGGTGATTCAAGTATCGATACAGGAAATGTTTATAATTTAACAAATCATACATGGCCTATTGTACCTCCATATTTTCAAGGTCGATTTTCGAACGGTCCTGTTTGGATAGAAAAATTAGGTATATTGAATATAAAAAATTATGCATATGGAGGTGCAACAACTGATAATGATTTTATTCAAGGTTATACAGCATCAGATACAATACCTGTACCTGGTGTTCGACAACAAATTCAAATTTATTTCAATGAAACAAATATAACGACTTTGAACTCTATACGTACACTTTATGTCATTCGGGTTGGTGGTAACGATTATTATTTTAATAAAACGATTAGTCCATCAAGAGTTACTGCTAGTATTTTAAATGGTGTTCAAGATTTACTTAAGTTTGGTGCTAAACATATTCTTATTATGAATCAATCACCTACTCAAACAATGCCATTCGTTCAAACTCAAGAACAACTTGTTTACTATAGAGATCGTACTATTTATCATAACAATAATCTTTCGATTGGTATTACAAACCTTGATTATAATCACAAACAAGTTGCTTTATATTTATTTGATGTTTATTCATTGATTTTGAAAATTATTACTAATCATGAGAATTATTCTTTGAACATAAAAGATAATTGTTGGAATGTAATAAATGGAAATGTAACTATTTTATGTTCAAATCCAGAATCATATGTTTATATTGATCAATATCATTATACAACACGAATACATGAACTGATTGGTGATGCTGTACGTGAATTTTTTTTGAGTTCATTTGGAATCACTAAATCTTCTTATACTATTGGCATCATTTTATGTGCACAATTCTTTTTAATGTTATCCTTCTAGTCCCAAGAAAATTCGTTTTTCTTATTTTCCATGTGAAATATAGTTTTTGTTTTATATTATATCTTTTTCAGTTCATTCCAGTCTTCATTGAACATGAAAACTCTTTTGTGGCACCTACTCACTATTTTCCTTCGAAAATAATTAATATTAATTTTAAGTCGAAGTTTTCCGCCCCACCTCACCAACCGAAGGTCAAGGGTTGTTAGGCACGAATGCTCGCCTCACAACCGAGAACAATAGACATCGAACTTTTTTTTCAATAGTTTCTTAGCAACAAAAAAAGGCTCTGAATGGAAGTAACAACACGGTTCGGACTGTTGTAACGCATTCGACAGCAATTTTCTGAGAATGTAAGATAGGTGAAATACGTTATTACATATTGTAAATAATATTATTTTAGATTTTGAGGCAGATAAACGACTATATAGTAGAAATGAAAAATAATGGCTATTGTCGTGTTAATTTTTCACATTCATCATTTGATCAATAGAAAACGTATGAACTAAAATCAATTTCTAATTTTCGAAAATGATCAATATTAGCGTTTCCTGAATACTCACATTTTTATTTCTATAAAGTTTGATTATATCGAGTGTTTCGTCCGGAGTTTCACTTCGGAATGGTGAACATCTATTCTGGGAAGTACGGACATATCCTATGTGGCACAAACTCCGAGAGGACTAACCAGATCGTCAGATTGACGGCATTTTTGCGTTTCTCACGCTAGATAAAACATCGACTTTGGACGAAAAAAAGCTTATTAAGAATGATAAGCAGCTATAAACTCTCACCAGCTTCAGTTAAATCGTTCAAAAAACAAATATACAAAATTTATGTCGATCACTGAAATGTCTTCTTTCTAATTATACAGGCTCTTATTGCACGTCAATACACTCAAGAGACCTTTTAAGCATTTGAATATACGTTCTTTGAGGTTTTATTCAATATATTTCAATGATTAAATTTAAATCACTTAAATTTGTAAAATAAACCAAATGAGTACGACATCAGTTACGAATCAATTTAAGGAATACCGTGAAGAGATCTTCAATAATCATCACCAAAGAAAATCTTGATCAAGTTCACAGTGTATATGAAAATATATGGGAATCAAATATATGATCTCTTCCATAAACTTATTGAATTAGTGTACGAAATATTAGCAAAAAAACTCTTATTAAAGTCAAACAAATGACAATTTGCTCAGCAATTTTCCAAAAAAAACTTAATCAATTATGTTAAAATTTCAGAGTGTTCAAGCAAACTTCAGTTAACTTTTGCCGAATCATATTCTATCCTAGAATAAGTTGTTTCAAAAAGCATCAGATCTAATCTAATAGATCCACAATTATCATATTTTTCATTTCATTTTTTAAAAAACAAGCGCCCTCTTACGGCTAAATTGAATAAAGATCATTCGATCCACATATTATTTCACTTTACGTACATCTTGATTGACACTTATACTTAGGTATATTACAAACAGAAAAGAGAAAGAAGAAAGAATTTTATTATTTTGCATATTCATTTCCTATACTTCACCTTTTGACTTTAATAGTCCAAAAAGAACAACTACATTTCATTATTTTAGATGATGTATTCTATTTTTGTATGTCTGTATTTTATTTTAAATCTTGTTAATATATCTTCTTCAACCACAAGAACAATAAAAACAACATTACCTCCTTTAGTTCAATCAAATCATACGCCTTTAATAACTCATTTTCTTGTTTTTTCATCAAATTCAGAAACAGTTATAAGATTTGAACCAAAAAATGGTTGGATATTAAATGATGAAAAAAAAATTCGTCTTTATTTAAGTGGGCTTAATCTTCAAAAAAGTTCACTTGTTTTTTCAGCTTCAGTTAATAAATGCACTTTAAATGATTATATATCACCTATTTATTCTTTGTCATCAACATCAATTATTGAGATAGATGTTGAACTTCAAAGTATATCAAAATCTCATTCACTGGTATATATTTGTCTATTAACATCATCGAATACATCATTATCTTTATTAAATAACAATAATAATCATAATAATGAATTACATAATGTAGCACAATTAGAAGGTGTTTATTTTACTTTTGTAAGAGAAAAAAGTCGATTACCATTTTCAGCTAAAATATGTTTAATTCTTATGTTATTTATTGTGTCGGGTTTTTTCAGGTAGAACTTTGTTTTTGATTAAATGTAAATGTGAACTTTTTGTTTTTTGTTTTAGCGGTATGAATTTGGGTTTAATGTCAATGAGTGTTAATGATTTATGTTTAATAGCTGAATCAGAAGATACGGCACTTCGTTATTATGCTCGACGTGTTTTACCATTAAGAAAACGTGGCAATTATTTATTATGTTCAATTGTCTTAGCAAATGTTTTGGTTAATTCATTAGGTACGGTTTTACTTGATTCACTTGTACATGGTTTATTTGCTGTTATTGTTTCAACAATAATGATTGTTTTAATGGGTGAAATTATTCCTCAAGCTATTTGTTCTCGTTATGGATTAGTTATTGGTGCACATACACATGTTATAACATGGATATCGATGATTATAACTGGAATTATTTCATATCCATTAGGTTTTATTCTTGATAAAATACTTGGACAAGAAGTTACTGCATCCTATACACGTGATCAAATAGCTGTAATGTTGACACGAATTAATGCAGATATTGAAAAACCAGAACTGGACGTTATTACAGGTATGAGAGATGAAAATCAACTCGAAATTGTTTTCTTTTTTAAGAAATTCAGAAAAAGATGGTTTAATAAAAAAAAAGAACTTATGAAATAACTTCATTTTAAGATTGGAAGATTATAGTCCGGAGCGCAACTTATGGATGAAGCGTGCATGCATGACTAGAGCCTTTTGGCTTCGTACCGGGTCCGAAAATAATGCACTCGACAGGCTCTACCCATGACACATCTTGTACATCCCAAATTCGTTTGTACAGTTCCCCTGGTTTTGAAAATTGTCTATGCAGCTTCTTTTTTTCACGAACTCAATCACTCTGCATTTATGTGAATTTAATATTATTTATCTGCTAGTTCGAGCAAATTTTTCATCGTTGTATTGTTCAATAAAGATATAAGCCAATCCACGGAACGCACGCTATCGATGTATGCATGGACTTATACTTCTATTGTTGAATATATACCACTATTTCTCATTTGTTGTTATAAAAAAAAAGGCTGAGAATTGTTCTAAGTTAATTAATCGTGGTAGTGACAATGGCATTGATCTGTCAAAAGTTCGTTTTTATCATCATTTTCATATCTCATAGATTTTATTATCTTAAAAATATTGATCGTATCGCTTTCTTTTTTCAAGGTGTACTTTCATTACGCAAGAAAACTGCTAAAGAAGCTATGACATGGTTACCAGATGTGTTCATGCTTGATAAAGATCGTAAAACAGATGCTGAATTATTACTTGAAGTTCATAAACACGGTTTTTCACGTATTCCGGTTTATTCATATGATAAGTTAGTATAGAATTTATTCCCAATGAAATAATTTTTATTAATATTATTCAAGATCAAATGTTATTGGTATCGTTAAATTACGAGATTTTGCATTGATTACTCCTGAACAATATCATTTAACAGTTAAACATCTAATGGAATTTCATACTCGTATGTAATTTGTATTTTAACATATATATATATATATATATCTTAATATAAATGATTAAATAGATCCATTTGGTTATGCAAAAACAACAGATTCATTATATCATTTAATGCAAGAATTTCTTGAATGTAAAAAAAGACTAAATATAAATTATCTAGGTTTAAAAAGTTTCATTTTAGCTCGATGGCATATTGCTCTTGTACAAGAATTGCGTAATGAAGAAGATAATCTTGATCCCGTGTATGCAACTGTTGGTGTTATTACACTTGAAGATGTGATTGAAGAAATGCTTCAACGAGAAATTATTGAAGAAGCTGATTTCTTTAGTAAATATAAAGCAATATTTAAATTTATGTTTAAAAAAAACCAAACAATTTTATATTTTCAGCTGATAATCGTCGTAAAATCCAACGCAAAAGAGCAAAAACAATGGATTATACTGCATTAGTCAAACGACCTGTTAAAGGTTTATTTCAAATGTTTTTCTGATATTTCTTGGAAAGATAAAAGCATCTAATATTTTGCCCATCGAGCTTGAAATATTTATTCAAAGGTTGAATGTTCTCCAGCTTACAGATTTTTCTACAGAATAAGGAAGGAAAACGAGAATTAGCAATGTTCTTGTTCTTATGGCAAATTTTAGAATCGAGACTGTTCGATTTTTTTATCTTCAACTCTACCCTTTTCCAACAGGTCTATTCCATTCATATTGATTTCGATTATTTTAATACATTCTAGAGAAATAAATTATATGTTTGATCTATTTAAAATATGGATAAAGCAATCATACTAGATATGAATTTCTGATGAATCCTCTCAGAGTTTTTATGATTGTTACGTACTGGCGATTTAAACAAATAGAAACGAATGATATCATCGAATAGGATTTCGATGCATGACAATTATAGAGTCGTGAATCCTTTTAGTTCCAATTCTGAACTGTCTAGATCAGTTTTGAGTTCAAAGTTTGAGTTTTTGTCTGGTCTGGGTACATATCCAAATTGAAGTTCCTTCTCCTGCAAAAAAATGAATTTCGGACCCAATGAATTCAAATCGACTGAAACTTTCAGGACATGTTGAGGCTTTAGTGAAGAGACTTTCTAATATTTTCAGCTTTATAACATGATATTTTTCGGAATATATTCAACAAGCAAGAGTCAAAAATGGATCATTTACTAGTCTGAAAGTTTCTGTGAGTTCACATTCTATCGATTTAATTTCCTTTTTATTTGACAGAGTATGTTAACCTGGAGTGTTCGGTGAAGCTCTTTTTACTTGAATTCATACGTTTTATGCGGAGAACAAGAAAGACAAATTCAACGCATCGAAAACTTTCAAAAAATGGTCATCTGTTTATGGAGGTACTTTTCTATTCGATAATAAAAAAAACGGAGTGCCAAAAAACAATTAATCATGTTGCTTATTAAAAATCAGGTCTCGAGCTATTTTTGTATGCATTTATCTGAATTTCAATTTTTATGACAGTGGAACTTTAATCTCACACCTGTTTATATTCAACCTCAAGTCTTAATACAGAAGAACTGTCGTCAGTTTAACCAAGTATTTCGACTATGATTCAACTTTAGATTGATTATTTTCTGAGAGCAGGTAGTAAATAACTGAAATCTTGATCTCTTCATTTAGTCATGTACACAGAAGGTACCAAATATTGGTGGAAAAAAGCTTCAGCTTAGACCCGCCTATGTACAGATCTGACACTGTTGAGTCTGGGTCAATACAAATATGAGCCTGCAGCTCTCTAATAACCGTGAGTAAAATACGAAGAGGTAAATTCTCCTCGGAATAGAAGACTCTAGTTTGCGTATTGTATATCAATTTGCTGCAGTTTTTCTGACAGCCATGAAGATTCAAGCATGATTTTTTTCTGAATAACAAAGGCACAAAATTTAGTATAATTACAAACATCGGCTCATTTCCGATCGAAATAATATATATTCATAATTTTCAAACACAACACCCAGTGCATTTATTTAATAAAAGGCACATCAAAACTTTCTCACCAGTTTTACCTTTCAATCTTATAACAATTTTACTAAAAGCTTTTCATTTACTCTTCAGGTCCGTCAATAAGTCCTCAATTAAAAGTTGCTGTCTTCCAATATTTAAGTACAAGTAAGTGTTGCTCATCTTTAAACTGTTTCATATTTTGTCGTTTCATTGACCATATTCATTTCAATGCATACTGCACAATTTGCAACTTCTAGCGAGCACACGAACATGATTTATTTTCTGCTTAGAGCAATTTCTTTCACAGAAATATTAGCTTCTTGTATTCAAAAATAAGACCATTCGCTATGGAAAATCCTTTCTCCTGAACCTCTATGAAAAATGTTTTTAGTTAAAAAATTGACAAATGATACATCATCCTATGGAGTTTTTCACGTTGGTTCAAAATGCTTCTATGACAAAGAAATCACAAGAAAACTTTAAAAACCAAGGTTTTTTTTATAAAACTTGTATCTCAAGTCAGACGCATTTGCGCTAAGTGAGTATGTGTCCCAGATATAGAGGAAGATTCTCTCACAGTTTCGTTGACATCGAATTAGTGGAAAAAAATGATGTCTAACTTTACTAGAGACTTATTTTTCGAAAATTAGAATTATTTTTTCAGAGCGAAAATTTTTCTTATAAATCGATATAGCAAAAGTTCTAGTTCCGAACTATATATGATTTATTGTCTAACCCGTTATACTTTTCACAAAAAAACATAATACTTTTCTCTACAGGTACTGAAATTTGACCTTTTTTGCGACTAAATTTTTCTAATCAATTTAGCAAATTTGAACAAGCATTTCTTTTTACCAAAAACATAGTCGTTAATAAATGTGTATAATTTACTATTCGAATCTCGAGAAAGGTCACTTTCATTTTTTTTTACTTGATGTCCACGTTGTTGTCAACCGTGTACTGCACATTCTTTAAATATCTTCTAATAGTAAATTTTCCTTCTCTTTTAATTTTTTTTTTCTAATAGAGACTAAAAAACCAAATTAATTAGCTTCATTCTTCTTAATTTAGATGTTCAACAATTTACATCAGGTTTTATTTCTCAAGAAATTTTAAAAGTTCTTCTTAATCATAATATATATGCCATGATAAAAAATCAAGCTAATCAAAAAACAAATTCAATTTATTTATATAAAAAAGGTTTTCGTTATGAATTATTTACATTAGTTATGCAAGGAAATGCAATATTAGAATCTGGTGTTGAACATATAATGTCAACAGTTGGATCATTTTGTTGTTTTGCTGCATCAGCATTACTTGCAGAGAAAAAAACTGTAAAAGATGTTCATCAATTTCTTGATAATTTATTTACAATAAATTCAAAAACTAATAATACAACAAATTTACTTGATGAAATTTCATCAATATTTATTCCAGATTATAATTTAATTGTTAATAGTGAATTACATGTTTTACAAATTCATCGCCTTGTTTGGTTAGCTGCTGTGCGTGCAACACAACGACAACGTAGTAATGATCCCTATTATAGACGTATGCATCCTGAACAATTATTATCAAATTCACTTGATGAAATTGTACGAGATTTTTTTTTCATATATATGTTTGGTTAAATAAAAAAATTTATCAATATTTTTATAGTCATCGATAACTAATATACCAATTGATAAAACAAATTTAACAAATTTTCAACGTATATTTCGTAATGAAAAAGATTTAACACGAACAGCAAATGGCATTGGACATAGAAATACTCAAACATCATCATCAGTTTTTGAAGCTATTCATTCACTAGGAACAGGTGATACAATAAATACAATTGAAATCAACCCAGACCAAATCATTCATGCTAATGGGCATATTTCATTTGAACAACAAACACCATCATCAAAAACAATTATTTATAATCCACTCTTATTAAGTATACCGAGTTGTGATGAAACAGTCGGAAATGGAATTTGTAATGGAAATTATCATAATTTAACTAATTCAAAGGATACTGGGTTTAATTCAAGCATGCATATTGATAGAATGTTTGATGATGCAGAAGATCATGTAAATATATTTTTACAAATTTATTAAAACTAATTAATAGAAAAACGAGCATTGAGCCGATAGATAAGACAGTTAGAAATTTGTCTAGGTCTATATTTAGATTTTATTTCAAGTTTGATTTGTATTAAGCTTGAAATCTGAAGTTGAGAAGAGTTGACATCAGACTATGCGGACACAACGTTTCGAATATCGTTCAATCAGAGCTGGATAAGTACGAGTACAATTTTTATTCTACTCGTCCTCGAGAAAACCCGTATTTACCCAACTTTGGGTTTCACTTAAGATTGACCATTTTTTGATAGAAGACAACAGATAGCTAAAATCTTTATTCTACCGTTGGTCATGTATATAAAGAATAAAAACGTGAACCAACAGTTCTCTATTGTCACGAGACTACAATGGTTTGTAATCATTCAGAATATAAGAGATTGGTGCATAGTGGAAACTAAAAGTTGAAATGGTGCTAAATATGTTAGTTGATAAGTTTACTTTTTTTTTCAATTCACCACGTCTAATTACTGAAAAAATTGATTTTTTTCATGCAACATCATTTAGTGTAGAGGAATATTTTGTCTATTAAAAGTATTCAATTGGATTACTTTAATTAACTTTCGAAAGCAAATCTTCAGTATTCAGCAAAAAATACAATACTTTACAAAAAGCGATCTCAATATCGACTTTTCTTTCATATTCAATATTTCGACAAGAAAATGTTCATTATCGAAAAAGCTTTTAGAAAATTCCAAGATCGATAGGATCTATATCTGGAAAAACTTTAGGATAAACATTCCTTACAAAGATATTTTTCGTTCATATCTTGCTCTAGACTGGAACAAACAAAGACCTACCTGCACAAAGCCTTTTCGATTCTGTGTAATTCCGTGAAGATTTGAACCTATGAAAAAAGCACTTGTGATGATTCTATTGAGCAGGAAACCGCCTGAAGCAAATCATCATATTTTAGGTTATATTTTGAACATTCAGAAACCATAAAAAAGACGAAGCTAACCTCAAAAGAAGTCAAGCTCTGAGCAGGTGGATAACCAGGAATTTTTCAAGGAAGGTACATACCAGCAGGAAAATAAGTTTTTGTTTCGCGAAAAGATTTTTTTATTCGTACCTTCTCCAGGTGTTTTTTGGTCAGGGGGATGCATCTCCCTGGCTTTGAAGTCTTTTGTATAAAGGTGTCACAGATTTGCTGTATATTTACCATAGGATGAGCTATTGACAGAAACATATAAACAAAATATTTTTTTTATTTGAAACTTCGTCTATAAAAATATGTCACGATCCCAGAGGCATTTTAAAAGCTTCCATCTTGATATCTTTAATGTTTAAAAACTCTCGCTCTTATCTGGTTGCTTCTCAAATCGAATCGATTTTTGAATACTGAAGATCTCAACATGGAAGCTGTTAGAATATTCTTAGAACCATGATACCTACTGACAAGATTTTAAATAAAAATATTTTCTTCGACGTTTCTGTCAAAGTTTTGTTTTTTCAACTTTAAATTTTCCGCGTATTCATGATTTCTTTTTATTTCTCTATCTAGACAAAAGATGATGAACATGAACAAAGACAGAAACATTTAATTGATGAAATTCGTCATACAAATAGTACGTCAGATATTTTGAATCAAACAACAACATTTCATCAGCTTTCACAAGCTCATTCAGATACAAATCTTCAAATAAATCTTTCATCTCTTTCTCAAAATGAAATTTTCAATAAAAGCTATAATGATGCTATAAAAACAATTAATGAAACAAAATAAGCTTATTCAATGCTTACTACAATCAAGTATTCACCATCATAATTATTCGATGTAATTCAGATCATTTATTCTTGCATGTACAAAAATCAATATTTCAATAATATATTTATATATGAATATTATACGCTATAAATATGTATATGATTATATTATTGCATTCATTCAATTCCAAAAACAAAAGGTCAAAATTCTTTTTTTTTTGTACAAATAATCTTTTAATAAAATCTATGAATCGTATGCAAAATGCATTCTCTTATTCTGTATGTATTAATCTGTTTTTTTTTCTTTTATAAAATAAAATACAAATTCAAATTACAGGAAGTTATATTCTACTTATTCGTTCATTAAAAAAAGATAAAAAGAAATCAGATCGATAAACCAAAAACGGAGACAATAGCATACATTGTTTTGTTTTCCCAACTAAATAAAAATAAATAAATATTTCTTTTTAAAATTTGTCAAATTCTTACCGAACAGTACATGATCCGTCTGTTGTATTATCCCAAAAGCATGAACTTGCTGTATGTAAACCAGCACCATTTTTTTGCATAATTACACATGATACAATATATTTGAAGGGTTTATTTAATTTTGTTAATGAATTAAGTATAGATTCGACTATATTTGATGTCCATGTATTAATTTTTGTTTGTTGATATGATTGAGATCCAATTGTTGCTTCAATTGATTCTTTTATTATATTTGATACTTCATCAACAACGAAACTTGTTTCATTTGTATCATCCATTGTTTAATTAGAGAAAAATCTAGAAAAAAATATAAATCGAATGTTTCTTTTTCAGGAGCTTGTATCAAGAAGAATAGGTAAAAAAAAATGCGTGTATATAGCCGTATAAATAGGTTTTTTTTCATCACCATCACGCGCTTACCATAAACAAGTATGTGTCGAAAAGGAAAAAAAATATGTGTATGCGGCTGTATGTGTATGTGTGTCTAGAACAAAATTAAAATGTATGCATTTGTAAGACGCCGATAATGGCTGCGACTGTTGTTTGAAGAAGAATAGACAGAGAAAGAGGAGAGAAAAGCACGAACATGATGGTCGTCGTAATTCTAACGATGTTCACTCATTCTTTTTCAAAGTATTTTCTACTCGTTAATATATTCGTGTCGATAAATGGTTGGCTGAGAATAAAGAAAAATCAATTTGACGTCCAACATCAATCTAATTGATCATTGTTTGATTTAAAAATGACTACAAAAAATAGGAAAGAAACAGTTAAAAATTAAATTATTCTGACGATGAAAAGAGCTAGTAGAAGTAAAAGTAAAAACAACAAAAAATATTATTCGTTTGTTTCTTTGCTTCTCTTTTTTTATGTGTTCTGTTGTTAACAAAGTGTAGATGAAAGTAACAGATGTCGAGCTTGGCCTTTTACGAAAAGAATCTTTTAGTATTTCTTCTTTTTCTCGATTGTTAAAATAAAAATAAAAATCATATTTAATCTTATATAAAACAAAAAGCACTAATCGACAGGTTACGAAGAAGATTATCGTAAATCGTCAAGTTCGTAACAAAAAGAGACAAAGAAAGTGAAAATTATAAGTCTTTATAAACGGATCATTTTTAATCGTCTACAAACGATCTTTTGCCTTATTTCATATGTGTATTACTCTTATCATTTCTACAACTCTATAGTATTACGTTATTGAATAAACAAAACTTTTAACAAAAGTCATTATTCAAACATTTAAGCTACTCACGATTTAGGACAATGTCGTTTATATTTACATTGAAACTATGACGTCGGACACTACTCCTCGTATGAAATGCAAAACGTAAATGAAGTTTTGACATTTATTATAAAATAGTATCAATAATATTGTTTGAAGAAGATGTACAAACATTTACATTAAGTCTTCCGCTGGAAGAATGTTAGTTTTATTGGACACTATATTAATATCAATATGTGAAAATAAAATGTAAGATAATCGATTGAGATTGAATAACGAATATTTTAAAATTAGACGATTATGTTCTTTTCAATATCAACATTAGATATATAATTTAAAGTAGAGTGAACATTCAAGAGCATCTATTTAAGATTAGCAATGTGAACAGAATAGTTTATTAAACTTTTTCCTTTTATTAAAGTACAAAAAAATCTCTTTTATTCAATAATAAATCATTGAATGTTTGCACCTCTGTCTGTCACAAAAATTTTAACGCGCATTTTATTGTTTACTTCTTTTTTTCTCATGTATTTTCAAAATGAAGTTTATATCACCAGAATCAATTGCTTTTGATCGAATTCCAATTGTGTCATGGGAATCATTTATACCTAAATATATTCATAACAAGCCTAGTCAACAAGGTCTAGATTCTTCTTCAACAAGTATAACTTCTCAATGTATGTCTATACCATTTTTTTATGATCCATTTCAAGCGACAGCATCTAATCTTGCTTTCTATATCAATCCCCAACGGCGTCCTGATATTATTTTTAATCATTGTCTATCATGCATAGATGATAAACAAAAGACAATTTCTTAAATATTATCATCTAAATGAACTATATTGAAAATAGAAATATTCAGATAAATTATACTAGTTTGTATAAAAATTAAAATTTATTCCAATAAAAGGAAATTGCAAAAACAAGTGGTGTGCTCATTAGAGATCATAAATATCACGTTGTATTTAAATCATAAATGATAGAAATTTCATCTTTAATATAAATAGAAGATTAACGAGGGTTTTTTTCTTATCTCGTCTTGTATTGTTGTTGTTGCTGCCATTTTCATCATAATCAAGACACATACGATACTCATTTTAATCGCATATTCTCGTGAGATATTAAAATCGATCAAAAAAGATTAACAGATATAATAAATAAGTTTATTTGGAAATATGCGTGCAGAGTATTAGACGATAAACTCATCCGTAAGAGAAATTTAACTTGAACAAAATTCGATTTTACGGACGCGTAAAACAACGAAATATTTTTGTTTTGCATTAATAAAACGCAGAACGTCCTTGCTTTCTTTCACTAGACACAGTATTTGTTTTCACTTATTCTATGTTGACATCGTAAATTGATTTTCGAAAATATCCAAACATTTATAGTTTTTGGAGTACGAAATTTCAATCAAAGGCAGCTATGATTCTACTGCAGGAAATGTGTAAGTTAAAACATCTTCCAATTTGTTGAATTGGAGAATTATTCAATAAAACTTAATAACATTATACATTTATATTTTATGTATTGTCAAAGAGTCACGTAAAAATTCCAAGACAAATAAACATCGATAAAAAAAATACTACTGAAAAAGAATAACCTTAAAGATCCTTTCTTTTTGTTTTTGGTCGAAAGTCGCTAAGAAAAACTAAATGTCACCTGAGAACACTGGCGAACTCTACAGCTTTTTAGATTTAAGTCAACTTCAATTAAAGTTGTATATAACTTAATATACATGTTGGAGAAGAAAGTAAAATTCAGAAAAATTTAAAATTTACCTAGGAAAAGTTGAAATTTTTCAAGAAATAAACTTGACATTTTGGTTTCTCCTAGGACAAATTAAAATATCTCTTATTTCGGATAGAATCAATAGCAGAACAGATTAAAATAAAAATATACATTTAAATAAATGCTGTTCGCATAACTTAGTAGATACTCTCATATCCCAAAGTCGTCACCATGAAATACTTTTATAAATGACTGGATGAATGATCATGTTCAANTGCTATTTTGTTTTTAATTCGTGATGATCTTCTTAATTCTGAAGGGTCGTTAGGAGGATCATCACTTTCATAGTTGCACGGTTGAATGAGGATCCGACCATTACTAATGAAGATCGCGTAATACGTTTGCTAACAAGAGTACTTAAAGAAGGTTTCATTACTAATGAAGAATGTAATATGGCTAAGCCAATAGGGTCGAGACCAGCTCGTCTCTATGGTCTTCCAAAATTACATAAATCTAAAGAAAATTATACATTACGTCCAGTTATGTCTGTAATTAAAACAGTTGGATATAGTTTAGGAAAAATGCTTACCAATCGATTAAAACATCTTCGAACAAGTCCTTATGTTATTAAAGATTCATTTGATTTTTTAAACAAAATTAAATCATCAAAAAATGTGGATACAATATTGGTGTTATTTGATGTAGTAAGTCTCTTTACCAATGTTCCACTTACCTATATAATTGATTTTGTTCTTGATCAAATACATCCGACATGTAAAAAATCATGTCTGAAACTACCAAGAGCAGAACAATGTCGTAAATGTAAGCAGAATGTTGACTTTAGAACTCTACTCGAAGAAGCTACATCTAAGACACATTTTACCTTTAATAACAAAATGAATGTTCAACATAATGGTGTTGCAATGGGTGCTCCATTAGCTTCAGTGATTGCTGATATCTTTATGACTCACTTGGAAACAACATTGATGGATAAATTAACACAATTAGGTGTATGTGAATGGTATCGATATGTAGATGATACATTTGTTCTCATTAATAAAAATGCAAATGTAGATAACATGTTATCCATTCTTAATGATTTTCATCCATCAATTAAATTTACAAGAAAGATTGAAGATAATGATAAATTGGAATTTCTCGATGCACAAGTCATTCGATCACCAGAACCACAATGCTTCGAGACAACAATTTATCGTAAACCAACATTTACTGGATTACTAACAAATTGAAATTCTTATGTTCTCATTCAATACAACAAAGCCAATATTATTAGTATGGTTAATCGTGCATTTAATATATGTTCAGCATATAAACTTTTAGATGATGAATTTAATAAAATAAGAAGATTTGGTCTAGATAATGATTATTCATTATCCTTTATTAATACAATTATTAGCATCAAATTAAGTCAACATCGTAATAAGATGATTACAAAATTAGATATACCAATAATTGAAAGTGATAAAAACAAAAATGTATGTTGAGATGCCGTTTATTACATCATCAACTTCAGGTTTAAAGAATAAAATTAAACACCTGACTAATAAATTAAGACCTGATCTTGACATCCAATTCTTCTTCAAACCACCACCATCAATACAAACATTTTTCCAAACCAAAGATCCAATTGCTAAACATATACAGTCAGATGTGGTATATTATATTAAATGTAATGACTGTGAACATTCGTATCTTGGCAAAACTGAACGTCAATGCATACGAAGACTTTATGAACATGGTGCACCTACAACACCTTATCAACCACAACAACAACCGTGCAACCATGAAAGTGATGATCCTCCTAACGACCCTTCAGAATTAAGAAGATCATCACGAATTAAAAACAAAATAGCAGCAGCAACAACAACAAGGGCATCAGCANGCACTTTTTTTGAATGTTTTGAGAAAATGATGAGTTTGAAAATAATTTTATTTTCTATAGTATCATATCAAAAGATGTCCGAAGTTCTCCTTTTTTTGATTGCTGAAAACTGAAGGTCACTAGCTGTTGTTTTTATCGAGTTATCGAACTTTAATTCAAGTACCGACGTCAGTCATTTGCAACGAAAGCAGTACGAATGATTTTCTCTGAGACTTTTCTATTCATATTCCTTTTTCAATTTAAACTTATATAACCCATTGATTTTAATACTATTGATCATAATGAGTATGCGTTAAAGAATGAAAACAAATTTAAAAAAATCTTACCTTGTTTTTGTTTTAATGAATTTGAAATAATTCAAAAATGCATACATAGAAGCGATGTTAGGAATTTCTTCTGGAATATGCTGGATTCATGCGAAGAATTTATAATTAATGGAAGATGAAAAAATTATTTTCTCTGGTTCCTTCCGTTGAAGAAAGTAAGCGAAAATTTTTTTTAGACGTTAATAGAAGTATGAATTGATATGATTATTTCAAAAAGACTAGCTGCTTACTTTCTCAATTCTGAAATCAAGAGTCTTTTATAAGAAAAAAATCTGCAATTCTTTGAACTTCTATTCACTAAAAATAACAACTGCAAAAGTATAGCTCTATTGGATAGTATCATCTTTAATCTTCTGAAAATTATTATTGAGAAGTAATTGTCACCCACATGACCAACTTTGTCAACAAAATGACTGAAGAATATTGATAAGTTTGACTCAAAAATACTTTACAGTCAAATGTATTCTTGGAGCATGTAAAATTCTAACATTACACGAAATATTTTGAAAATTTTATCTATACTAACGAAGTGTTAGGAATGCTAACAATTTTATACCAAATTGATTAGAACATATCGATTTTTCAATGGTTGAACTTCAACAAAACCATCATGATTTAGCTTTAATAAAGGAAAACGTCGATGTTCAATTTTAATCTTGTCTTTCTCGGAGCATTCCCAATAATACATAGTTTTCTAATGAGAGAACTCATCCAACTGATACGTTCCGCTTCAGCTCATAGGGAAGGCTCGTAGTGTAGATAGAAACACTAAAAGGATTTGTATTATTGCTGCTTTGCTTCACAGAAACAAGCGTGACAACTTTCTCCAGAAATAATTTACACAATATTTCCAATAATTTTTGTTCTTTTGATTCACTGAATAAAGATATATTTTCATAAGCTACACTTTTGTTTCAAAACGCATCTAATACATGATTATTTGCTGTAAAAATATCAGTCATATCTAAATTGTCGAATGTTCGATACATGACTTACTTTTTGTCTAATTGATTATGTGTACAGTTAGAACGCATGATAACCAAAAGTGAAGAATGTTAACTATCAAAGTCTAATGATATTTATGGAAAATACTATAAGCAATAATAAAACAAGTGATCAGAGGATTTCTTCTCTATCTATAGAACATCAATTCAAATATGACTGATATTTCTACAGCAAGTAATCATATATTAGAGGCGTTTGTAAACAAATTTTCAGCTCATAAAAAATGTTCCTTTATTCAGATATTAAAAGGACAAAAATTTACAGAAAACACCGTAAAACCATTTCTAGAGATACTTGATACTCTTCTTTCTTCGAAGCAAAGTAGTAATTGCGTTGATTCTCTTAGGGATTATATATATATATATCATGAGCCGTACCTATGAGCAAAATATGAGCTGAAACAGAGAGTATCAGTTGGATGGATTGTCTCACAATATGTTAAATACATAGTAAATAACGTTTTATAAAATAACTACTACATACTCGATCTGAATTCGCTTATCTTGCATTTAAATGTTTCTCGATGCAGTTGATCATTTTGGTACTATGTACTAATATTTACTACTCTATTTATTATGAAAGAAAATATACTCTGAAACATAAAGTACAATCAAGACTGTATACTTGTAGTTACGGTGATGAATCTTAACATAGGATTTATTCAATATTTATTTCAACTGCATATTCGTTTAATATAAATATCAAAACAGTAAGATGACTATCATTTGTTAGATTTCTAAAACAATATTTTTTGTCAGAAATATTTCTTCTATGCGTGATCTGTGACATGAATATTCTCACCTTAGAGCTATCGTTGCGTGTATAACCTCGGTTATCTAATTAGAAAGTTATTTTTAAATAAAAAAAATTATTATTAGAAACTTTTCACAATGAGCTCAATCGAGTGTCAGATGAACTGCGGCCACTCTTAGTGCTATCACTATGTATACATTGCATGATTATCAAAAAGTGAGAATTAAATGTGTGGAAATAATCAAAGAAAAAGTTTCTTTTTTTTTATATTGAATTTCTTCTTTTTTTTTGCTTTATTTACTTATGCCCTGAAGCTGATGGATACCATCACGAAGATCATTATAAGATTGACTAATTATCATTCCGTCTGGAAATGATGTCATACCCAGAAGCGATATTCTTTCCTATATTTATTTCACACTGTTTTATAAAGATAGAAAAAAAAAACGAAAGAAAAACAAAACAAGACAGACAAATCATCTGACAATAAGATGGATATCACAGACACAAAGATGTAAAAGACTAGAAAATATAATTTTTGTTTGTTTGTTGTTTTGTTCATCGTTTGTTATAAAAACCAGTTGAATAATTAACAAAAAGCATATTCATAAATAATATTAAATAGAAATTATATGTTAAACAGAATGAACAATTAAGTAAAAGTTCAATTTGTGCTAAAAAAAAAAAAAAGAAAAGAAAAAATAACATTCAAATGTCTATTGACTTGATGTAAAAGATATTATTCTAAACATGTTCTATTCATTGAAACAAATGAGATTAATTCTATAGACTTCTAAGAATGCCGCTGTTAACAAATACGATGTTATTCTTCAATTGTTTTACAAAGCTAATCTACTTTCCATTAACCAGATACAATGACACCTACCATAAGTTGGTGATGATGATATTCTCTCTTGTTTTGCTATTGTGATATTTGATAGAATGGATTCTAAATTAAGATTAGAATTTTTTTTTTTATTAGTTTTCGAAAAAAAAAAAACTATATATATTATCTTACCATCAATGATAATAAATGCTTTGGCTACTTTAAATTGATTTTCAGCTTGACATTCATACATACCAAATATATTTGTATAATTATATGGATCAATCTTTAATAATGAAAATTAAGTTTTCATTTCTATGAAATTTATATTTACTTGTAATAGAAGGATTAATTGTATTGTATAATCGTTGATTTCTATACGTTTTATGTTATTTATTTCAATACGATTTCGTTTCCATTTTGCTGATGTTAATGGACGTGCTATTATGGTACAACTAAGTAAAATTTGAGAAGATGAACGAGACAATGAAGATTGCACTATTATTTCAGGTGGAACTAAAAAGAAACAAAGAAATCTATATATATATGAAATTCTTCGAGCGTTGAATAATTGGGTGGTTTTTTTTTCATTATTGTGTAGTTACGTGTCAATATATTAAAGATTGGAAAATCTGATTTCCAGCTAGCGAAAAAATAGGTGAGAACTGGATGAATTATCTGTGAGAATAATTCTTTGTCATTTGTAGAGAAAATTGAATACATCACGTAGTTTTACCAAATTTTCTCTTCCAAAGAAGTGATTTTAAACTCCGAGAAGATAAATACATCAATTTTTGAGAATATAGACATACAGTAGTACATAGTACAACAGCTACAAACTTCAGGAAGGGTCAAACACGATTTTCTCGCTTTTCTCTTTCGGTATATAAAGGATGGCAATAAATTACAAGATTTTTTAATGAGAAAGTTTTAAAGCTTATCAATGAATGAATTCAACGAAAACAAAAATTTGTTCTTCGCATGTGTGAAAACTGCTTAACCCATATGTGTTTAAATCCAATGAAAAAAAAAAATACTTTGCACCCTGCTAAGATATATTTGTTCGAGCACATGTGTGAATGGACTGCATTTATGTAGTATAGACATTCCTTTTTTTTTTTTGTTTTTTTATTGATGAACATGATGGTTGAATGAATGACAGAAGGAAAGTGCATAAGCATGTGTCCACTTTCGAGATCATTATTCATTTCTCTCATCACATGTGCATACAAAGAGTGAATCGATATATGTGTATATTAAAACTAATCATTATACTATGATCTCTAATTTCATATTATTTCGACCTCCTACTGTTTAACAAAGCATAAGAAAAGAAAAGTTCATAAAAAATGTACTTCTTTTTATTTCATTTGAATATCATAAGAGTTTCTATATTTATATAAATAATTGAGTCATCAGAAGTACGTAATGCTCGAGAGTATTCTTTTTTAAGTACAATAGCTTTTATTCATTTTTGATAAGATGACATCTTCTTTTTCTTTGTATTAATTTAGAAACCATAAAAAAAAATTTGAGAAAGAAAAAAAGAAAGACACTTACTAGCTGGAACTAAATGTCTTGTACGCGTATCGCGTGGTGGTATCCCATTATCAGCAATACATTGATAATTCATTGGTGCAGTACGTGAAAAATTTCTTATAATTAATTTATTATCATAAGTTACTATATCTAATTGAAATAAAGAATATTTTTCTTTGTTTCTATTTGAAAATTCTTACTACGATCATATCTTTTATTTGATAAAAATTTTTTTTCTGGTATATCCCAAAGAATTTTTGGTTGTGGAATTCCACGAGCTAAACATTTTAAAATAATTTGTTCATTCTCAATAAGTATTCCATTAGTATTTGATTCAATTGTTATATCGACAATTTTCGGTGGTGCTAGAATATATACAAAAAAAAAAAGGAATAAATGACTAATTGAATCTGTCTACTAGCAAAATACTATGAACACTTGATTTTAGATGCGTCATTATTCTCATCAATAGAAAGTTAAAGACAAGAGAAAAAATGAATGTTAATGGTTCAATTAATGAAACCTAACAAAAAAGAAGTCGAATGACAACACTGTGGGAAGTTGTTTTATTACATAAATTTATTCTCGTCACAATGTGAAATTTTCGAAAGTGACTTTTATGATTATTTGTATGATTTTTATCGATCAAATAAATTTTATTGTGTGAAAATTTCCTGTTTAGTCTCATCAAATAACAATCGGAAACACCTTTCACATATTAATAAAAATAAAGTACGGTCACAGATGAGTGTGAAATGATAAAAATCAATGCTTACTCAAAACGGTTAAATTAAATCGTTTTATGATTGTTAATGTTCGATCATCGAATGAGATGCGACATGTGTATTATCCTGCATCATCATCCGACACATCTGATAGAATAAGACTCCACGTCCAAGCATATCTAAACAAGACAAAAAAATAGCATCTTTAAGATTATGTCGCTTTTATGTTGACTAACGGTTTTTTCTTTTTTTTCTTAGTCAAACAAAAAATGTCACGTACGTATGTTCAAGCATAAATCGTGTACGATCATCACTACCAATATTTTCACCGGTCTTTTTTACCAATAAACGTCCTGTGGGCCCATAAAAATCAACCTAAAATATATATCGTCATGTACATATATATTTCCCAAGTGAAAATGATATAATCATATTTTATTATGCTCTTTTTTTTTATTCTTTAGATTAAGCAAAATACGAATGATTGATGATATGAAATCAAAAAGAAACTTACTGGTTTGTTAGAATATCGTTCGGGTAGATCACATATAAATGTTGCTGTTTCACCCGTATTTACAGATAAATTTTCCAAATAATCATCAAATGTTATAATTGATGATGAAAATAATAGAAGAATAAATATGATTACACTTAAAACCATATGAATATTTTCTTTTTAAACATCAACACCTTGTCATATCTAGAAGAAAAAGAATAATCTTCTATGAATGCCTCTAGCAGCATCACTCGTTCATTTTTCTTTTTGTTCTTCTTTTTCTCTTTTCTCTCTCTCTCTCTCTTACTCATTCACTCATTCGCTTTTCTGTCCATACACATAATTATATATATATATATATATATATATATGTGTGAGTGTGTGTGTTCATTTTTGATTCAGTACGTGCGTGCGTGCATAGGTTAATAGAGAAAGCATGACTGATTACCAATCCTTACTTGCAAAGAAATGAACGAAGGAAAGATTGAATAGGAAATTATAGACCTTGAACAAATTGAAAAAGAAATCATCTTACTGGAACACTAAACAGTGTGCATTCGCGCGCATGCGCATAAACACAAATCCTTCGGCTTTCGATATATTTATTTCATTATAATCTTTTTCTGGTTTTTCTCTTCTACTTTTATAGTCAATGAGATCGCTCAAGGTCGGAAGAAGCCTTTTGTTTTTTCATTATATGCTCAAAAACTAATTGAAAAACAACAAATGATAGCCATTTTTTGACAAGGTCGTCTGTTCGATGATGGATGAATAATTATTATGTTTAACAAAAAAGGAAGGTCAAGAATATAAAAAATACATACCTAAATCTAACGATATTTTGGTGAATGATTTTTGTTTATGTCAATATGATTATATTCAAGTATATTCATATATATATATATAGATACTTATTTGAAGATGTCTCTTCCTTCTTTTTTTTTGTCTACAAAAGGCAATAAAAGGAAGTGCACAGTCGGGAATAGACAGAGAAAAGAAAAAATGAATTTACTCTGGACATAAGCGGAAAATGACAACAGTGCAACAAGTAACAATGACCTACTGTTTCTAAATGCTTTATCTGTACAGTAGACTAATGATAGAGATAAAAGTATTAATTGAAATAAGAGAACGGGAACAGCGGTGGTATAAAGTTCGAGTGTCACAGAAAAATGAATGATCAAAAAAATGTATGTCTATGGTTTACTGTTATTATCAATAAATATATGGATGCATTAATGAGGTAGTTGATTACTCAATCGACTAGTATTTTATATTGTCTAATCTCATGCATATATGTATGAGAGACAAAGAACATATGGAAGAGATGAGAGACAACATGCAATAGTTTTGTAGTCGATGACGGATAAAGACACAAACGATGACAATTGATTCTTGACATGAGCTTTATATGTTATTTATACATACAAATAGTTTGTCTACGTTGACTTTATTTTTTTATGAATACTTAAGTGATGTTTGAGAACATACAAAACGAATAAGTACGATTATATCGGTTATTCAAACTAAGATAGACAAAGAATTTGAAAACAGAAACAAAAATAAATCCATGGATAATATCCAATGGCAACGAACTGTACGTAGACATAATTAACAATGTTTTTGTGCAAGAGAAATCTGCAATACATTATCTATCGGTTGTCTTTGTTATTCTATGAATGTATCCAAGAGAAAAAAAATTATATTGTGAGATTATGCTTTCCAATTCAAAATGTAGCATATGCCAATTGAAATATAGATAAGAAGAAAAATTTTTGTTATACCATCTGTTTACTTAAATAATCATAGACAACATAGTAGAATTATCATTGATTGAAAATCAAATATATTGTTTTCTGTGTAATATTATCATTGAATTTATTAATAATTTATTAGTAACAATTTCACTTGAAAATTAAATTTAAAGACAAATCACAATGAAATAGATTTATGTTGTTTTTATTCAATAATCGAAAGAAAAGTTTTTATTTGATTTCTTTATACCGTTTGAAATATTAATGATTTGATGGATTTTAATTTTTTTCGAATTCTAGTAAGAAGTTTAAGAAGATTTCTTGAAAAAAACTGTTGGTGCAATCCATGCAGGATTAAAATGCGATATACGATGTGGCTGCTTTTGCTAATTAAAAAGATATTGCTTCATTATATCTATTTTAAGACACATTTCTTTACCATCTTTTATACTTAATCCTCCAGAAATGTAATAAGGAAATTGTTTGTATATTATGATGAGATGTTATTGATATACGCTCTTGGATAGAATATCAATAACATCTGGCAGTCTATAATGGATTGCCAAGGTTTCTGTCACGGTCTGTGGGGAAAGTAGGCCCAAATTGTTATTCCTATTATTCACTATTCTTTTTAGATTATTTTTCATAAAATGCATCAATATTAATAGATTATTTATTCAGATGGAAGGACATATATTTTTTCTTTCTTTGACGAAAAACCAATTCAATATGTATAATTAAAAAAATTAACATCAATGAATTGATCAAAACGGTTAAACTGCTGCAAGTTTGATTCTATTTTTGTTCATGTCAATCATCCAAAGATGTGTTCAATAAAACACCTAGAACAGATAATAAGCTCGAAGAAGGTTTTTAGAATATATTGAACGATTGTCATTTATCTTTGAAAGCAAAAATTGATTAAGATCCTGTAGGTCTCTGTTTTCGAATGTTTGCAACATCTTTTTCTTTGATTGTTCTTTCAGATTGAACTGATCTAGTTTTGTTTAACCAATTTTAATGAATACTCATACATTTTATAAAAAATGCCAAAAGAATAATTTTTTTATTATACTCATGAGAAACATAGAGATAGATGAAGATGATACTACTTATAAGAAAGTATAAAAACAACACTATTCAGAACAACTATAGATTTATTTTTATGTGCATAATAGTTTTTGTTATGATAAAATCAATACATCTTGTTAGATAATCTTAGTTTGGGATATATCTATACTATCATAAGATGAGTCCTTAAAAATGTATAAGTAGAATTATGAGAGTATGCTATGTTCTTGGGGAAAAAAAAGTGACATCTCTAATCAAAATCCAAAAAATCTGAAAGAAATCAGTCTTAATATTAGTCGACATGCGACACCTCTTTATCATTCTCTTGTTGCTTCATTATTTCATTGTCAGAAATAAAACATATTCGGAACTATTGTTCATAGATTTGACTATAGTTTCGTCATATTGTCTTGTCCATTTAATACATTTTGCACATCAATCAGTTTATAAGCTAGGACAACAAGATACTAAATTTCAATGGTAGTCCATTTTGATTCGATTGATCATCAGAAATAATATCACAAACGTATAACTCTATTATTTAGATACTAAAAGTATTCAGAAGAAAATAGACTATTACGAAGATTTATAATATTAAGTTTCATCTATATTTACTATTTCAATTTTGTATATTGTGAATTCCAAAATAATATCATACTACTTATATAGACACAAATATTTACAACAATGGAAAAATACAATGAATATTAGATACTAATGTGATTCGAACTAGACAAAAAGAAACATCGATAGATTGTTTGGTATAATGTGCGTAATACCAGTAGTAGTGCAAACAAGCATGCGACCATGAATAATATAAATTTACTTTTCTTCATACTAATTCTTTGACGAATGCAAAGGGAATTGTTATGTTCTGGCGTGGGAAAATAGTAATATTAATTTTCGAATCAAATCAAATATTTGAACAAGTTTCTTTTTCTTTTTGTTATTGTCATGGGTATATATATATATATATGCATTTATTTTCGTGACAAAAACACATTGCAAATGTACGAAAACATATTTTGTTAGTATTTGGCGACCTTGTACTCAAGAAAAAACTTTTGGAGTTTTGTAAAAAATCTAAAAGATTCTGCTCTTCAATGCCAATTCAGAAAAAATGCTATTTGATCGCAATAAAACAAATCTCACCGATCTTATGAAAGTATTTTCACTATTGTTTAAAACAAAAAAGATTGGCTTTTTCTTGATTTTCATTATATGAGATTTCAAAGTCGTTCTATCGTTGTCATAGTTTTTATATTAAATTGCAAGTCGATCTATATTCAATATGATTATTACATTCACATCAGTTGGTGTAAATCCTCTGAGATTTCGATATAATCCCAAAAAAAAGAGAACATTTCTCTAACATAAGGTATGACTTGTTAAGAAGTTTTCTTCCACCTTCCTTTTTTTTTTTATTGATCTATTTTCTCAACAATTCCATTATTAAATGTATCTTTACTTGAATGAACTAAAAAGCACTTGAATATAATATTTGTAAGGTAGTGAAAAAAATAATTCAAATTTTCATTAGAAATGAATATAAACTTGTTGAGATTAAACTCATCGTAACTAATTAAAGATATTTTCTGTAGTTTTATATTAAATATAACGTTAAAAACAGGTCAAAGTTAGGCTATTGTTTGAATTCTAGATAACAGGAAGACTCCTTGCATCTTGAAATTAATTGATAACTTAAATTTTAAAATCACAATGATTTTATTTTATTTCTTTTAACAAACAATGCAAAAACAATATTAATGAATATGGTTTTTTGTTTTTATTCTATGTTCGTTTTGTTCTATTATTATTTTTTGATGATTTTTGTTGTTTATGTCCTTTTCTATTTGATTGCTTGTTTTTATTAATTTTGTTTCGTTGTTTAGCTGCACGTTTGTCTTTTTTCAAACGTTTGTCAACAACTTTATAAGGTCCTTTTGCACCGGATGGTCGAACCGCTCCACGTTGAGATTTTTTAGCAACAACATATTTAACATTAGCTTTTTTCTGTCCAATAACACCATATTTTCGATATAGACTAAAACAAATAAATAAAATTTCTATGAGAACAAAAAAAAAAAAATTAAATTCAAAAAAATTACTCTTTAATTTGTTTATTTCGTTCTTTATCATCTAAATCAGCATTTTCAAGTAATGGTTCAGCTTTCTTCTTAACTTTTTCAAGTTTACGTAATTCCTTGAAACGAAAACAAGAAATTAAATAATAATTAAAAAATAATCAAATAAATAAATTTACACGTCGTTTCTTTCGTGCTTTAGCTTCAGCAACTTTTTTTGTTGGTCTTTGATCAATTTCTTTCATTTTAGCTTTAT